TGTATTCAATTAAATACCCTGACTTAATCTTTAAACTTAAAATTTCCATGTAGAAATATATGAAAATATTATTTTCAGTTGATAAAGGTATACCAAAGTAGAACATAAAAATTTAGAAATTAAGGTGGAATACCAACAATGTCATGCAAGGTAGAAGATCAACAAATATAAACTATAGACCCTACATTTTCCTATTCTACTGGGATCAGAAAGCTTGTCCTGTGCTACAAGAAAATTTCCAGATCTGCTACAATTTATTTAGAAAACTAGTAATATATTACTCTTCAACTATATATAACAATGCCTCTTGTAATGTTCCAGTGCTGGCAGATATTTTTCTCAGTCAGCAGGTTCCAGTTTAAGAGCCCTACCTTAGGAGAGTTAAGAGAAGCTCATTCTTCATAACCATCTCCATTTCAGCTCTCAAAGAGAATGAATACCACCTGCTTTTTGTCCTATCTTTCTAGGTTTTCTGCTGAAATCAGGAAAAGTAAAAACTATAATGCCCCCAATTTATAGTATGTAACAAATCATTGTTTCTACGCTATATTTGCAGTTATAAATCATACTTTATGCTATATGTCTCAATTTTGTTTCTTCTTTCTAGCTAGGACACAAGCCAACTACCACAATGGTACAAGAATGGAAGCTTGCTAATCACAAGGACATTTCCTAACATAACCTCTAAACTTACTCATTCAGTAATGCTTTCAGATGGAGCTGCAAGCTGCGCACCGCTGTGTGAACGTTATTCAGTTCTCTCGACTTCTGTTGCGTTTTAGATAAACGCTGGGGTACTGACTGGTGCTGAGTTTCAAAGTACCGATAGAACTCATAGCTGCGCTTAAGTTCTTCCAAACAGGCAGAATGAGCATGAGGTAGACCTTGAGTCACATCAGATAAGATACAATGAGGCAAAAGTGCTGGAGTAAGTAAGGGCCCAGGAGGTGAACTGGCTGTAGAAAGTAATAGGGCTAACCGTCTGAAGAACTCTGAACTCTGTGCCACCCAGAGTTGGAACAAAACCTGAAAAAAAGAAAAAAGGACTAGATCAATAAAAAATATTGGTCAACATTCAAAACAAACTAAAATTTGTTTATCTTAACTTCTGGCTTAAATTTTTCACTTTATCCTAAATAATGACCATAGTTGAGCTTGAACTAACTCTTAAGATTAGCCAAGAATGCTATGTCAAATTATGTAGTCATGGCCCGTGGGAACCTCTGATCCCAATATAACAGGTAACAACAATATATAATTTAGTACAGTCCACAACTTTAAAGGCTCATAAATATCATATATTTATTTAACAAATATTTTTTATATACATTTTATGAAGTAAAAACCCATCTGCTATTTATAAGAAAGTTATAACTGAATCAGGGGCATTATACATATACGTATATAAAATACAATATCATAAAAAGTTAAAACTGACATTTTATTTCCATTCTACAGGTAAGGAATTAGGTCCAGAGAGTTGAAGAGATTTGTCCAGAGGCACAAAGCTGGTAAGCTGTAAAGCTGGGCTGAATACAAGAACAAAAGGGTAATACCACAGAGAGCTACGGATACTGTTATGAGAATTCAGTAGAAGATGAAATTACCACCAGCTATAAGTGCAAACAGGGAACAGCCACAGAAAAGGTACTTAAGGAAGAAGTAGCGTTCAAGGATGGATAAAATTTGAGCCTGGACAAAAGGTGAGGAAGGTCATTTTAGACAGAACATGGGAAAAGGCATTTATACAGTTTGGATTGAAGAAAAAGAGTGAGAAATAAAGATAGAAATGCAGACTGTAGTCAGGTTATCACAAATCCTATAGAATCCTATAGAATCTACAGAATGTTTTGTACAGACTTTAGTCTAAGCTGCTATACTACAAAACCAGTGAAGATTTTCAGTTAAGCGAAAAAGCAAATATGTGCCTCAGTAACATCAAACTGGCAGCACACATTCTGGAGGCAGGGAGAACAGTTGGACGTTAATGCCCTGGTGGAAGCAAGAGACAATATGGTCCTGCACTGAGAGGCACTGAGGATGGGAGTAGTGAAGGGGACAAGAGTAAGAGAGGAGTGAAATACAAAAAAAGCATTTTGAAATAGGAAACACAAAACAATTTTTTAGACAACCATTTCAAAAGTTGAGTGTTGCAGTACTACAGAGCAAATCAGATATGATGGTGTGTGACTGATGTACTTTCTAGTTAAAATACTTAGAAAGGTGACAGATACTAGCATATACAGAATATTCCATTTTAGAAGAGCACACATACTTCCTGTGCATAATCCACAATCCCTCTCCAAGGCTAAAGCTCTTCTTTTTCGTGTTCATGTCTACTGAGTGTAGCACTCTTCCTTCCCTGAGCCATCTTCCCTCAGTCTAATGCATCCCGATATGCCCTATATAGTTCTGATTCTATTGCCCAAAATTAATTCTTCAGGGACTCTGGCTTTGCCTACAACCTTCCCAGTAAAATCTTATTTTCCTCTGATGATGATCCAACCTTTGCCACTGATTCAAGAGGAGATGGCCTTATCTTCCATGTTCCCTGTAGGAGACAGGACTAAGAGTCTGGTTAGCATTCACCTGCTTTCTTAGAACAGCAGCTATAGACCACTGGAACACCTTCATTTCATAGTCTCTTCATTTTTCCCTGTGCGATAACCTTTATATCAGCCTTGTATCTACCTATCTCAGGCTTTGAACTGATGGTTAAAAACTTACCTTCTCAAAATGTCTTTCCAACCTTAAGTTCCTATTCTTGTACATCTTATTCCTCCCGCATTACAGTGAAATAGGCCTTTTGATTTTACTGATATATCAAGTCCTTTTGACCCATTTTCATATCTTACAAAATTAATTACTGTCTTCCCCCTTCTATTTCTTGCTGGTATACAGGGACAAGCAAGTACATCTTATCAGCTCATTAAATTCCTATGACCTTCCTGATTACTAACACATGAATCCAACCATTATCTGATCAAGTCCTATACTATGAATATTTAACTGTTAGAGAAAAATTTCACTGGAAATGACTGTATTCAATTAAATACCCTGACTTAATCTTTAAACTTAAAATTTCCATGTAGAAATATATGAAAATATTATTTTCAGTTGATAAAGGTATACCAAAGTAGAACATAAAAATTTAGAAATTAAGGTGGAATACCAACAATGTCATGCAAGGTAGAAGATCAACAAATATAAACTATAGACCCTACATTTTCCTATTCTACTGGGATCAGAAAGCTTGTCCTGTGCTACAAGAAAATTTCCAGATCTGCTACAATTTATTTAGAAAACTAGTAATATATTACTCTTCAACTATATATAACAATGCCTCTTGTAATGTTCCAGTGCTGGCAGATATTTTTCTCAGTCAGCAGGTTCCAGTTTAAGAGCCCTACCTTAGGAGAGTTAAGAGAAGCTCATTCTTCATAACCATCTCCATTTCAGCTCTCAAAGAGAATGAATACCACCTGCTTTTTGTCCTATCTTTCTAGGTTTTCTGCTGAAATCAGGAAAAGTAAAAACTATAATGCCCCCAATTTATAGTATGTAACAAATCATTGTTTCTACGCTATATTTGCAGTTATAAATCATACTTTATGCTATATGTCTCAATTTTGTTTCTTCTTTCTAGCTAGGACACAAGCCAACTACCACAATGGTACAAGAATGGAAGCTTGCTAATCACAAGGACATTTCCTAACATAACCTCTAAACTTACTCATTCAGTAATGCTTTCAGATGGAGCTGCAAGCTGCGCACCGCTGTGTGAACGTTATTCAGTTCTCTCGACTTCTGTTGCGTTTTAGATAAACGCTGGGGTACTGACTGGTGCTGAGTTTCAAAGTACCGATAGAACTCATAGCTGCGCTTAAGTTCTTCCAAACAGGCAGAATGAGCATGAGGTAGACCTTGAGTCACATCAGATAAGATACAATGAGGCAAAAGTGCTGGAGTAAGTAAGGGCCCAGGAGGTGAACTGGCTGTAGAAAGTAATAGGGCTAACCGTCTGAAGAACTCTGAACTCTGTGCCACCCAGAGTTGGAACAAAACCTGAAAAAAAGAAAAAAGGACTAGATCAATAAAAAATATTGGTC